GTATCAAACAGCAACAGCTGTTCTCACCTTTGAACACACATCTAAACATGTACATGATGTACACACATTAGGAATGAACTCCATACTTCATGTATAAGACCAGCTTATCGGGTGACCTTTACACATTTTTTTTAGAGAGATAAGGCCAGTATTTCCTTACGAAAACAGACTCTCGAAAGCGTGTACATGCAGGTAGTTTTGCAAAACGATCTTTGCTCTCATTGTGAGCTTGATAAGATTCTCTTGAGTACAGCACTGTGCTTTCACACTCCTACACAAGCCTGTAAAGTACAGTGAAGTACCGTTCTCTCATTTAATCGAGATTTAACTTATTTTTAGATTCAATGCGCAATGCGATAGCTTCGTTATCTGCATCTTGCATGTTTTAATGGCAATCTCAATGAATCATCAAATGATTTATACATCTATTCTTGCTACAGGTGAAGAGGGTTCCCCCTTCCCCCTTCCCCCCCCCCCTCCCCCTTCCCCCTTCCCCCTCCCCCTCCCCCCCCCCCCCCCTCCCCCCATCTCAATAAAAGGATTTGTAAAAGGATTTCTAAGTATGGAAAAACAGCTATTCAGACATTTACAATTCAAGAGGTTTGTCTACTCTCACATGATAGACAACATACAGATTTAAACGTGCAAATTATTAATGAGGGGGGGGGGTTCCTACACCTAAGAGCTGGGGAACATACCATTTTAATACCAGGTAGGTCTATACATGTACATGTATTTACCAGGGAAATGTAGTCTGCAGGCTTAAACTCTACTTTGACACTTACAGTAAACACAATTCCATACAGTCTTTAGCAGAGCCTACATGTAGCCCCGACGATCTCAAATTATGTCAGGAGCAGCCGAGTACAGAGTTTATGGGGTGCACTACACCATGTAGTCTTTAAGTTCAGGCACTTTGTTACACACTATGACTGACAGGGCTTTATGCCTGCAAACTTGCAAAGTGGGAGTTGGTCTTGCGGTCATTTATGTGGTCTACTCCCAATCCTATAAATTGACCTTAGTTAAAAAACTAATCATCTTTGAAGGTTTAGTCCCAGACATAATTTTTCAGATCTAAGTGATAAATGTCAATTAAACTCTAATCACACTCCCAACATACACACCCTCCCACACCCACACACACAAGGTTATTCGGCCTATATAGAGAGAAGCCTGTCCATTCATTAAGCCTTGTCTATCAAGTGTCATCCTATCCCTATACTTCAGACATAAGTCTACACGCTCATTGGATATCATATCGCAACACAGGAAATACAATGCAATGTAACCCTGCCTCTAGACTACCAGGATTGATTGTATAACTAGCTATACAGTAAGTAATTACCTTTTTCCTGATCTGAACATATAGCAAAACACCTGTTTGAGCATCATTTGGAACAAAAAATTTATAAAGAATCAGGGTCGCATTCTACATGTAGCCTGAACTTTGTATCGTACAAAATTGTATATGGTAACTGGGCAAGGCTTATCATGAAAGGGCACTGATGATTTACCAGTTGTCACGTCAAACGACCTCTTCAAAATTTGGTTCTTTATAAAATGTTGCTTTTATTCTGTATGCTCCTTCTGCTATACGATGATTCTTTACATGTACATGACGTTTCTTCACACAAGTTTCGTAAAAATTCCTTTTAGTCAATGCCAATCATTGCGGTCTGACTTTCCCATGAGCGCGATGGTTTCGTGCGCAGTACAGCTACTACAGTACAAACTTTCCAGAGAAAATCTTTGTTCCGATGCTTGTGCAATGCTGGTTTTCATTGTCCAATTGTAATATAAAAGTTAATACTGCGAATCATTGCAGCATTGGGGACTGGTCTTACATGGCTGAAATACTGTTTTTGTTTTTGATAAAATTCATAACCGTGTACATGCACGGATAAACTGGCCGTGTGAACGGAGAGGAAATTAAACGCTAACTCACAGCACTTGTCTGAACAGACTTTTAGAGAGAAAACAGTTACTCAATCATAAAATCACAAGGAAATCATAATTAAACTCAATCTCATGCATACACATAAGTGGATTAGAATCATGATCTCAAGTTTGTAAGGAGAAGTTTCCTGCAAGAAGATCTCCTCATTTGTGTCTCATAGCATCCCTGTCTGAATCATCATGTTCTTTTCCCGATGGATTTCCTTTCGTACTGTAAGCTATTAAACTTCATGCATAGTAGCTCTACGTTACATTCACATTAGCCCTTCCTGTCACATGAACAATGGATTGATTGGACAAGATTAAACTTGTTTCTTCACAGACACTTGTAAACTGAGATACTGTCATCAGTAATACATGGTTTTACATAGGCCTAATTCAACCCCCCCCCCCCCCTCTCTAGTTTCAATGGAAGACAAGGTGATGTATATGCACATAAGAACATTTTGAGTCATATCAATTTGTATTATACACAAACCATAACGATGGAATTTTAACACTGGTACAAGTGTAGGTACATGTGTAATCATCTCTATACAGCTGAAAGGGAAGTATCAAGTACCTATCTCTCAAATTTAGGAAACAATTTCAAAGAGAAATTACTGAAATTTGGGATCAACAAGCTGACTTCTAACAAAAGAATTTCATTCTTTGTTCCAACATTTCTTGTATGACATCCAAACGAAGAACTGGTAGGGTAAAACAAATGTTCTGTCAACTTTTTACATTGTCAACAAAATCGTGAGAAGACCGAGACTTTAAAGTCAGCGTTGAGTGAACTCAACACAATGTATGGTGGTACATTACTGGGAAAATGGCACTGCACTTCTTTCTCAATGACACTTCAAAAGCACTAGGTTTGTACAGGAAATTACACACATGTATGCATCCCATTGACAGCAAATGTAAATACACTGCACAGACTGAATCAATATGAAAAATTGAATCAAGTTCCTCTTTTCTTAGCAAAATTTGCTAATTCACCGAAATTATGTTTTTGATGTGATGACAGTTCTATTGTTTACTATTTGGCAGTGCGGTCTGTTTTAATACACTTCACAAGTCAGCTGTATGATTCATATTTCCATGAAATAAATGCCATTCTCTCAGACAGTGTTTTCATAATAGTAGAGACCCATTTTCCTTTCAAACTGGATAAAGAACTGTCAAAACAACAAAAAGTTATACCTTTTTATTAAAAGAAAAATTATTATCTTTAAGATCAAAGGAATTGATTCTTTTTTCTAATATGAATTGAAATTTTGAGTGAGGCAAATGCATGATTTAACAATTCATTTCATCTTTATTTGCATCATTAGCAGTTTGACTTTAATTGCTATTAACAATTAAGTTTAAAAAACGGAAACACTAATGACAATGCTAACAAAAACTTGAAGCATTTCAAATGAATCAATATTTGATCCTGATGATCAGCATATTACAAATTCAAAATCAACAAAAAAATCACGCAAATTCCTGGAAATTATACATTCCAGGTATTTTGGCACGCAAAACAAACCCTTTAAACAAAAAAGGAACTAAAGATTAATGAACTGCAGAGACTGTCAAACAATGAGATGACATTGTACAAAGGGATTCTTCACAATGGGAACAATTAATCTCCATAAATGACAACATATTTGAATGCTTAAATAGCAGTTGGGCATTCATTCATATTAAAAAATAAGTAAAAAAACTGGAAGCACTAATGACAATGCTAACAAAAACTTGAAGCATTTCAAATGGATCAATATCTGGTCCTGATGATCAGCATATTACAAATTCAAAATCAACAACAAAATCAGGCAAGTCCCTGGAAATCATGCATTCCAGGTATTTTTTTTTATTTGATTTGATTTATTGATTTATTTTGGCATGAGAAACAACGCCTTTAAACAGAACAGGATCTAAAAGATTAATGACCTGTAGAGACTGTCAAACAATGAGATAACATACAAAGGGATTCCTTGTAATGGGAATAATTCATCTCCATAAATGACAAAATATTTCAATGCTTACATATTTTTCGATAATTTACCAGTAGTTCGTACATGTATTAATATTTTACTTTTCCATAAAGCTTATTACTTCTTACTATAAACACATTCTGGGAAGAAAATTTATGACCTATAATTTGCCATCACAAATGATAAAGAATCTACAATCAGTTGGCTCGTTGCCATCCTTAACGTTCATGGTCCATTAATCAAAGCTTTGTACAGCATGTGGTAACACACCATTGCACGGAAGAGGTAAATATTCACATAGTCATGATAGTACCCACTGGAAGCTTCCTATTTTCACTGTTTGGACTAATGGTTCGGTGCATATTTTCAAAAGGGATTACATATTCAAAGTCCTAGTTCATGTAATTTGATGACTGTTTCATGTGTGAATGAGACTCAACCAGACCTGCCAACCTCTGAAGTTGAAAAACTGAATTCTTTAATCCCAAAAGTTGTATTTTACTGACAAAATTGTATTTAAAAAACAACACAGATCAATGCCTCTTACAGTTCCTACATACAGGAAGAATTTTGTTTATGCATCGTTGGTTGAATAGGCATGATTTCGTCATGACTGATGTGTTCGATGAACCATTGAACATCCCCAAATTACTGATACGAGATGCTTTGAAGGATACTTTACAGGACAGAATGGGCAGAATCGTTATGTCGTATTTACTTCTAAACGTCATACTAAATAGGATTAAATCGTACTGGTTGGCAGCTCTGCTCAACCCACTGACTGCTGAATAATGTCATTTCCCATAGGCTTTATACTAGAACCACCTGGTTCCAGTAGGCAATGGGTTAAAGCCACTCTGCACTAGCTTGGCCAGAAGGCATTAGACCTCCCTGCAAGGTCACTGGCAGGCGGTCAAATCAGCATCTCATTAAATCAGCTCTCAATTAACATTAGAAAAAGGGCATCATGGGGAATCTATGGGTACCGCCTAGGCATTGTTGGCTGTATAGAGGGCGCAAGTAGCTATAAGTAGTGCAGAGGGGCTTTAAGTTGTAATTGATGAACATTCTTACCTGTGGGAGAACTGTGCCTAGTTGGTTCTTCTCTTTGGAGGGGATGCCATCTTTCTGGAGTCTCAGGAGTAGTTCAGGCTTCTTGTATGCTCTTAGGGCTAATAAATGTATTACTCGATCCCTGAAAAAACAATCAGATATCAAAGTTTAATTAAGTCTTTCATGTGAATTGGTCACTATTAATGTCACCGTAGAACGTTTACAATTCAAAATGATGTCATGAAATGTAAATGTTGGTCCAAGTGTACTGTTTTATCTATAAGCTCACAACTCAAAAGTTGTTATAATAATAATAATAATACAGCATTTATTATGCACCATCGATCTAGTAAACTATTCTGAGGCACAGAGGGATAGAATTAGAATGAGATACATAGAGAAATGAGAAAGAAAAAAAATACATAGATGTAAATTCAACATATAATTAACTAAAATAACATGCAAACATATTTGACTTTAGATTCTTTTTAAATGTTTCTAGGGATTCTAGTGAACAGATCCTCAGTGGAAGAGCATTCAAAAGAGATGGCTAAACTCAGAATTCAAGGAGAGATTTTTTATTTTTATTTCCTCCAATATTTTTGGTATCCATAAATTCTCTACATCTTAGTAGACTATGATCAGATATTGAGGTCAATATTACTCACTCACAAATGAGGGCAAGACCATTTGTTCTAGACAGGTACATGCACTTGCGTATGTTTGGTGCACATAATTGTAACAGTTGCCAGCTCTTCAAAATAGAGAGCACATGCACAAGTTTCTTATCACTCCTAATCATGGTTTCTTGCATGATGTTTTGGAACATCGGTTACACTGTGCCAAGTCAACTGGGGTGTTTCTACAAGATTTTAAATACTGTGAAGTTCCAAACTTTTCTGGAATTCTTCGTACCATGAGTAGAAACATATCCATTAAAAAGTGTTTACGTTTAGGTCACATGACTCAATGCATTATTATGCGTATGCACAGGGCCCTCTTTCCTGACATCAAGTGAAGCCTGCTTATGCGCTTCTGTAGAAACAGACAGATTAAATTCCTGTTATTTTCCAGGTCCATTGCAGGTATACGAAACCGTTAATTTCCAGGTCTGCGTAGAAACACACTGAATGACTAATCACATTGCATTAGAGAGAGAAAGTATCCATACACTGGGCACACCTTCATGCACTATTGGCATGACTTCAAGAAGGCAGAAGCAACGTACTAAAGATTTATTTTAGTACTTCCCCATTTGGCCTACGCTTGTTTCGCTTTCTTGGCCAGACTATGGGCTTTGGTTGTCTGAAAACATAACTAAAAACATCAATTAAACTATTTCTTGATACATTAAGAGCACATTTTCCTTGCGATTTCAAAGCTTAGTATGTCTCAAACACATGTATACACCATTAACTGTACAACCAATTGGTTTAACATTTATTAGGTTGGAAACAGTTCAGCAAATACAGATAACAGCAGTTTTGTTTTAATCTATTGCCTCAAAAGCTAGTAAATTGCCAAGTTTGATCAATCACAATGCTGGAGTGGGTGCTCGACCAGATAATAATCTTGACCAGGATGGCTGGCTTTGAACCAGAACCATGACAGGCTTTGGTTCACTCAGAATGGAATATACAATGGCCTGCAACAATCAACTTTTGTCACACGTATACCATGTACTCCAAACAAAGTGGCAGTCTGGGTTTTGATCCATATAGTGAAGAACTAGGCTCATGACAAATGAAATTTTGGTAGGATGAGGAGGAGGAGGGGGCTTACCTATAGGACCGATTATGTACTGCTGATTTCTGGGTAGATGGGGCACCTCCACTCCCCTTACTACTAGCACCACTAGTCTTGGCACCGCTGCTTCTACTGCCGGATATTGCACTTTTGGATGAAGCGGCTGTCGAAGTCGAGTTGGAGTTCCGAGAGGACGACGATGACTGGGTGGTCGTCGTGGTCATCATGGAAGCGTTAAAGCTCGATAACGTGGAAGAGTACGAAGTGGAATTGGAAGATACTGAGGGATTGCTGGTACTGGATGATGAGATGATTTTCTTGGCGTGGGCCGAGATGGATTTCCGCTTGACCCGGCGACCCGGTAGGAATTGGTTCTGTTTGACCTCCTTTGTGCTGTACGCAAACAAACAAACGATAAAATCAACAATTAATATGAAATATTTGTCTGCAGAGAGCCTTGAAGGCAGAGCTCTTTACAAAAAAAGCATGAACATAAGCTTTAGTCAAATTTCTTTAAAAATGTTTAATTTTGCTTGCTGAAGTAATAACAACAATAATTTTAGCAACATAGAGACTCAAATTTGATGCTTGGATATTTAGTCAACAGTCATTAAAACTTGGAATGAATTTTGTTGTATTACACTAGCATGCGCAAGTCTATAAAAGGTAATTGTCTGGAATAGTCTCTGCAGTAAAAATAATGTACAATGAGTGTGGAAAGCAATAAAATCCAATCTAAATGCTAATATCAATATTATGCATCAAGGAGATACTTTTTTGTATGACAACTGTTCCTGGGAGAAGGGGTCCACCTACATGTAACCTAACCTCTAACCCAACACCACACCTAACCTGACCTCTAACCCAACACTACACTTAACCCTACACCTAACCTAAAATCCAATCCTAACCCTATCCCTATACTTGTGACGAAATAAAGCCTAGAACAACTGTCTCAATATCATTGAATAATTACCTGACTTTCTTCATCTCCTCGTCTGCTAGCTTCATCTTCTTCTGAGTGGTCTGATAGACATCGTCTGTGCCACTCACTGTCACCTTGGTCTGTATGCTACCCAGAGAGTCAAGCTTGTGCTCTCCTCGACTAAGATATTACAAGAAATATATATGTCATTAAAGCCTTGCTCAGATATGATGCGGCAAAACCTGATGTAAAGTGTGATACATTTTTCATTTTGTAATACAGAGCTCAGTGAATACACACAGAACCCTTGTTGCCCGCAGTTGCCATTCATTTGCATTTAAAAGACCCAAGTGGGTTTTATTGCGGCGGCCGTTTAGCACAACATATCTGCTGACGAGCCCTAACTGCTCTCAAATCCATCATGACAAAGGAAATTCACATACAACTTGCTTTCATGGCAATACTGGACCATGCATTTCTTTAAGAGGAAACAGGGTTGTGTTTTCTTATGACGGAATAGACTCAAATTTCATTACAAAAATATAAACTTACATAAATGTATTTTGTTACACAGGAATAGACTTGTATTTCAAACCAAGTCAGAGTTAACAATTTCATTAAAAGGCAACAAAGTGAAATGGAAGCTACACATTATTCAATAATAACTTCTTTTAAAAAAGTCAAACCTGTGTAAAGACCGCTAAAGGGAGACAAAATAAGCGTTATGTTTTTCTTTTATATAGGACAGAGGTCTATGTGTACAGGTTCATTTACAAGTGTTAAAGAGAAATTGGGTTTAAGGGCGATAAAATATGTGTTCTTTAGCCAAGTAGATATATATTTATTCAGACATTTACTATGGCAGGTTGGACTATACACATTTCAAGTTTCATTGAAAAAAGGGTTCAAGTTCAGACGATTTAAAGATAAAGGTGAGTTCTGGTAATGCGATTGCATTGTGAAAGAAAAGGTGTGGAATGGATCAGAAAAAGTTGATCATAAAGCATGTAAGTATTGGTGTGTACTGCAAGGTTCTGGCGTCATCAAAATCATCATCAATTAGGCTCAGTTTTGGTAAAGTAACAATCACTGTACACAGAAAGATGTATATGGGACAACACAAATGGTGTTGGCACTGTTGGGGCTAGTACTACCTTGATTTCCTTATCTTTCTATGCTCATTACTCAGCGAGTATACATTTTCTTCCAAAATTGTTTGGCACATGACATTTATTTGTAATCTTGAACATTCAGTGTAAGTTTTGTTAGATTCTGTGAGAATTAATTTTCTTTTTTTTGACCAGAATTCAGGTTTATCTTTAACTACTATGTCTAAAATACAAAACATAAACAATTGTTCTTACCTGTTGCGATAGTGCTGTATGCTTTCAAAGCTGCTAGTCTGTTGCAACGGCTGAACGGTAAATTTGAATTCTCTCTCTCCATCTTTGGCCTCTGTGCTGGGGAATGTAATCACCTAAACAAGAAAAGATCAACATGGAACCTACATTACCAATGTGCTACAAACGCTAACGGACATGGCACCACACCCGACTCCCTTTGTAGGAGGGTCAAGGCGGATTTTAAAATTTTAGGGCCTGCCCCATGAGCCCCTTGTTAACATTTTGAAATATGAAGGATATTTGCAACTACCGGTATGCACTTAAATTTTTGGGCTTTGTCCCTGTTTGTGTCGAGCACTGAGTGGTCATCACGTTTGGCTATGTACAGTGTATGTCCAGAAATTCTTGGTTATCTCTCTTTAAAAAAAAATTACATCAAAATTCTCTACCTATTATTTAATTGTCCAATACAACCTAGACTTTTATGACACTGCTTATATTTAATTCATAAAACAGCTGATGCCTTCCTTAATGTAATTAAATTAATATTTAGGCAATTTTAAGATGAATATGCATTTGAAGAGTTTAAACAGTAAACCAAAAGTAAACTGCCTTTACAACCATACAAATTATCTCCAGATATTTTATTTTTATATTTTTGTTGGTAAAAAAAATTGTTATTCCATACAGCTGTCAACACATAAGCTTTCATAAGTACTTCAACAGGAAACATGCAGATTAAAGACCTCCTAGAGCCAAGACTCAGTATTTAAAACATGCATACATGTACACTGTAGATTTGAAATCACATGTTGTAAAGGCTACCAAGCAAGACATTATCTCCAGAAATCACTGTAGGTACAAATTCGCCAACATCCTATTGAAATGCATACTTGACATGTGTTTCAACGGAATGTCAGGTAACTAATAGTCACATTTTTTATGGTTTTCGTGAAACCATGGCCACAGAATAAATTATTTTTCAACATTCAACAATCTCTCAAACTAAATCTAGTATGCAACAAACTGCATCATTAGATTAAACAATGTGGACTTTAAACAAACCAAGTTTTATTAAATGTTTTTCTTGAAAGTAATTACACAAGCCTATCAGTCTCAACACGATTTTCCATGAGTAGGCCTACACCTTTCATGCAATAACACATCAGCTGATTCAGTGCCATACATGTTATCTCGGAGTCTGAGACAAGGTTCGGACTATGTGTGATATATGTTCATTAATCAATAACAGAGTTCAGACCTCGACTTAAAGTTCAGTGTCACATGAAAACAATAAACGACTATATTGAGAAGCATTACATGGACATCCACACATTAAAGGGATTATTTAACAATGTTAAATCTGAGATGCATGACCCTACGTGATATGGTGCAATATTGATGCCCTAAAAAAATTGCACTTCAAAATGATCATGAAGTGCCTCAAAAAATAAAAATCTTTGAGTGACCAGTTTTACCATAAGGTACTCATTTTCCCCAATAGACTGTAGTGTTATAAAAAACTGTTAGGAAAATGAAAAATGAAATTTATCATCAAGCCTGGAATGAAAAATTTGTTCTTCTTGAAAGGCGTAAGATTAAAGAAATTTCATAAATTCTAATATCCACACTCCACATAATGTTGTTTCTATGGTCCACATTGCAAATCATTCTCTCCCTTTCTTACTTCTTTAACAAATTTTGTTTTTCAATTATAATCTATTAAATTTTCATAGTTTTACTTATTAATTTATTTGTTTATTCATTGATTTATTCATTTTCATTTGTTTATTTATGTATTCATTCATTCATCACCTATTTATTCATGCATTTATTTATTTTATTGGTTGATTGATTGATTTATAAGGTAGCCTTGTTCCATACAAACTATAACTATGGGTTATCAAAAACAATAGATACAAAAGTGATACCACAATACATCATATAATACTGTGTAGGGGAAATTCATAAATCTTGCCCAACATTATACTATACAGCAAAATTCAATTTGAATACAATGCAAAATGACCCAGTAGTCTCTACTACTTAGATACAGAAAAGAAAACATTGAGGCCTTGAAATGGCCTTAGAGATATAAATCAATGAAACATACAATTATATAGCTTTGCAGTCACGACTGGGCAGTTCTCAGATTTGCTTTGAAGAACATGTCAAATTTGATTGTCTTTTAATTTTAATTTTCAATACATGATATTTATGATTGAATAGTCTACAAACATCATAAATATCAGTGACTGATCTCATCTGATACATATGTCATCAACTGTAAATAAAAACAAAATTCCATATTTTCAAGGTATTTCTGCTGCTAAATTTGTTGCAAGACGGGGAGTAAAGTTACATGGTCAGAATAATTATGAATATTCATACCTACATGTACATGTAGATACTGATACCTTGTGCAAGTACTTGACATTCACAGTACATGTACATACATGTATTTTAATCTCTACCTACATTTACAAAGTACATGTACATAAAGTGAAGAATCAAAATAAATAGGATTATATTATTTTGTTTCTCTCTCTAATGCAGTTTCGTACTGAGAGAGGGAATGGACTTGATATCAATTAAAGTAAATATTTATGGCTTATGGGGGCAAAAACTTAAATGCAGTAGCAGTAGGGATAGTACAGGTATACATGTATGTGTATGTATGTACAATGTATGGCAGCTGTGTAGAATGTCCCCTTTAAAATAGATAAACTGCATAATGAGTTAATGACCAGCTGTATTATAGGAAGTGAAGATAAAAGCATTGCCAGGCATACAGGGGGAAATGGTGAGAATGGTTTTGTTCAAAACAAGAGGTTATCTTCACAATCATCTTGCAATGGTATTATGGGAGGCTACAGCGGAAATTGAAGGTTCACACACAATTGGTACATTGAAAATACTTAATTCAAACAGTGATCAGATAAAATTCATTACATACAATGTACAATGTATAATCTCTTCTCTGCCACCAAGCTTTTAAACAACTCAAAATCAACTCGCATTCCTTTTCAACTTTATCTATTTATGTTGTATAATTTCATTTCATTTATTGATCTCTTTTTCATATGATTTTTTTCTCTTTTGCGTTGAGAATATAGCGATATAATAATAATGTGTCCATATATAAAGAGCAGTTACACTGTACTGTGCTTAGTACCAAGTTTTACATTATTACTGTGGCTGCAGCTGAGCTGCCATGATAAGGCACTAAAGATAATAGAATCGTTAGTGCAGTATTGAGAACTCCATAAATAATTAAATATTACAATTAGTTTCACATTTACGTTTTGTGAATATTTATCCTATGTATTTCTACCCACTCTAGTGATGTTTTATCTAATGACTTAATGTATCAGGTTACAAGAGGAAATGATTCCTGATCTTTTTATAATAATAATAATAATATTGGATTCTTATATAGCGCACGTATCGACCTTGCAAGGTCCTCAAGGCGCTCCAGCATCAGTCGTTAAAGATCATACATAAATATGAAAGCACACAAAAAGTTCTATCTACATGTAGGATTCATTTTTGAGGCATCTAAAGATATTAGGATGAAAGAAATCGTGTTGGTAAAAAAAGAAGCAGAAGGTAGAAAGAGAAGACTGGAATTCTAAGATGAACGGAAGTTTTCTTCCCAAGTAATTCTATTTCTAGTAATATTCATAGCATCAATGAAACTGAAAATACAGCAGAAGCATAGTGCAATTAGAATCCTTTATGAACATCTTCTTCCGAGGAAAGTATTCAACATTCTAGCTCACCAACAATGGATCTTACAGGCCTTAAATTAATCGACGGCCATCGACGGCCAGGCCGTCGATGCCCCTATGACTGGCCGCGGTGCCCTCCCAAAAAAAGATCTATTCACGGCCAAAAAGGCCGTGCCCTTTTTTTCAAACTGGCCGACGTGCCTTTTTTTCCAACTGGACGTGCCCTTTTTATTTTAAATTTGCGCACATAAAACCACCAATTGCGCCCATAATCATCTAAAACTAGACGGCAAGGCGCAAGTGTTTTCCGTGAAAATGCGCCCATAAATTATCAGAACAGTAAAAATACACGAATCACGAACAGTTTGCCGCCCACGAGCTCTCTTCTAGCTTCGTATTTTAGTGCTTTAATAATGGGCAAGTGCCGTGAAAATGCGCCCTTTGTTATTATATAGGCAATGCGCTAGCGCACGTACGTACGTACCGGTACGTTCATATTATGCGATCGCATGATCTATGATATGCATATGGTGCATGCTGTTGACGCACGCACGTACGTACAAATCGAAGGCCAGGATCAAGAAAACAAATCGTCAAATGGAGAAATAAACAAGCATTCAAATAGTCATTAGAGATCTGTCGAGGTTTGTTTGTAGGCCTAGTTTATTATTTTATCTCAAATAGAATTTAGAATTATCTTATTAATAAGTTAAGAACACCTACGATGTTCTCGATCGTAGTTACTCTCATTTTGCCACCAGCCGACCTCGCTTCAAAAAGCTACCCCGCCAGCTTCCCAAGACGAACGTTTCGAGTCCCGGTAAAATTCCGAGGGTGCATCGGTTTCGCTGGCAAACTTCCAGCCCGACAGCTTCCCACCAAAAGTGGCGAGAGTGTGTGTGCGAGGAACGATTTTGGTTTCGTGAATGCACGTTACGCAACTGAGCTGAGCGTGTCACTTTCAGCTGTCGAATGTCTATAAGGACATTTTTACATCTTATTTCATTAGTTAGGCCTATGTAGACCTTTCTATACAACAGTTAAAAAGATAATTTCTTCAAATTTGCTCCTACTACCGAGAGAGTGGCGGAAGGTTTGTGTGTGAGGTGCGATTTTGATTTGGAATACCCGGCCCGGTAAACTTGCCAATATTTTAGGTCCTTCTGACTTTCGATGTTTGTGAAATTGACAATTTATTTATTCATATGCTCATCAATATTTTTAGTTACTTTAAAATACTGTTTAATGTGCAAGTTTGATGTTCTTAATCAATCTTTCCTGTTCATATTGTTAAGATTAAAAAGTTATTAAATTGATCGTTCGATCTATTCACATTATGAAATTAACATTTGTAGACTCTCTTTGAACTTATGATTAGATAAGCGGCCTATCTGTTTTTGGAAAATTGCCCCTTGCTCTGGTAAATTCCCGTGGCAAAGGGCAACTTAAAAAAAAAATTGCCCCTTGCTCCTGGCTGCTAAATCTAAGGCTTGCGGGCCGCCGCCTTGTTTGCAGGCGCGTAGCCAGAGTTTGGTGTTTGGGGGGGCACATACATGTAATCGATCGAGGTAAAAAAAAGGGGTCTACAAAATTTCAACCGATCCTGAAAATTTTAGGGGGGCACGTGCCCCCCGTGCCCCCCCCCCCCGTGGCTACGCGCCTGCTTGTTTGTATGTACCGTAGACCTCTATACATTCTGTGAAGAAGCTGGTGCTAAAAGTCATGGGAAATTGATCCTGCACAAGTTTCATAAAATACACATGACATCTAACAAAAATAGAATCAATTTTTTTGGCCTCATACTCGATGCCCTTTTTGTAAAATATTTTGGCCTCGATGCCCTTTTTGTAAAAATATTTTGGCCTTGGTGCCCTTAAAAATATGAGGTACTCGAGGCCAAACTGGCCTTGCCCTAAAAATGACGAAATTTAAGGCCTGATCTTATTACAATGCAATATACAAGATCACTTAGGGAGTGATAAAGGTAGCTTGCAAAACCACTGAACACTAGAAGAGATTTGCAATAAATAAGAGATGAAGGGGGCGGATGGAGGAGGAGGGAGAAAGTAAAGAATGGAGAAGGCAGGCACAAGTAAAGAACGAGGAGAGCAGGAAGCCAGAGAAACGAGTCGTCATGGAAACCAATGGTCCCTATTGTATACTTACACCGCTGTTGCCTTTAAATTGGATGCTGGGTCTCTTACTAGTTGAATACTGCATAAAGGAAGAGAAAAGGGAGAGAAAGAAATTGCATTTAGTGATAATAGTCGATGATGCTTGTGGTTTTCTGCATGACTTCAAACAGAATGAGAAAAATTCCTGCTGTATAGCAACCATAAACCTGTGGTTCAGTAGTATTTACTGCTTCACTGCAATATCAAATGCAGTTTACAGCGTCTTTGGTATGGTATTACATGTATTTCATTCTTCATATATTTTTTTTCTTAATGTACTAGCCATAGGCCTTGCTGTAAAATATTTTTAAGAACCATTTGCGAATTCCCCACAAAGTTGAGATTCACAAAAGTTTCATGCCAACGAAGAGTTTATCAACATGAGTTTTTTAACTTTCATGTAACAACAGTTTCTGCTTTAAGCCTTTTACAGTGTCATATTGCCCAATACCTCTTCCCTCATTTATTCCTGGCTCTCAAAAGACTATACTGTCTGTTCAGAGCCCAAAGAGCATTAAAGATAAACTTTAGTACTGGTAATGCGATTGCATTGTGAAAGAAAAGGTGTGGAAAGGATCAGAAACAGTTGATCATGTAGCATGTAAGTATTGGTGTGCACTGCAAGGTTCTGGAGTCATCAAAATCATAATAAATTTGACCGAGTCTTGGTAAAGTAACAAGCACTGTACACAGGAAGCTATATATGGGACAACACACATGGTGTCAGGGCTAGTACTACCTTGATTTCCTTGTCTTTCTATGCTCATTACTCAGCCAGTATACATTTTCTTCCAAAATTGTTTGGCACATGTCATTTATTTGTAATCTTCAATATTCAGTGTAAGTTTCGTTTGATTCTGTGAGAATTAATTTTCTTATTTTTTACCAGAACTGGAGTTTATCTTAAACTCTGTGTTCAAGTATATGAGCCGCCGCCCTTCTGGCTTCAAACAGACACTGTGTTCAGTACAAAGGATACAGATTAAAATTCTCATCCTAATCCTGATCATTGTTCCCCCTTCATGTACATCTTCAATTATGACATATATCCAATGTCACTGTGGTCCTCATTATCACATCATCATCAGGGTAATATGATGATCAAACATACTGCATGGATTTCAGATGCCTGCCTGATCAGCAGAAAACACAAGCTGAACTTTGGTTCACATAATGCCCTTGATATTTAACCAAGTGCTGTGGAAAGCAGACCAGGTTTAAAGGTCAAATGCAGCAATGTGCAATTTTTCTGCTCCGCATAGTACCTTGTAGTCTACGTGAAAACCCTTTAAATTATTAAAAAGATGCTTACATCTGCATTAAGGCCTACATATAGCATTGAAATTGCAGATTGATACACACAGGCATAAGGTATGAAAATTACCCTGTAGCGAAATAAGATCATAAATCTCGACTACAGGGAACAAATATTTTTTTTATTTTTATTTCATTTTAACTCTTAATGCTGATCTTAAATTCTGGTTAGTCATTTAATTACTACATCAATTTTGTATATATTGTTTATAACACAGGATATGGGTTGTTCAGATTAATTAAACATACATAAACAAACTAATGCAAAACATGCTGAAGATATTGTAGGCCTACATAAAAGCACATGCACATGTAACTGTGGATGACCATATGTTAGGCACATGGGTCAGGGTCTTCAGCTTAATAGAATTTTTCTTTGATCATTACTCAGCAGTTGTAGCTTTTTATGCAACAATTTTTCCTGTGTGAATGCCACTTTCGATGAATTGTCAGCGTGTCTTGCACCAAACAGACAGTACATGTATTTTTTATATAATTTCCACCCGATGTGAATGGGTCCTTGAGAAGTTTTTCCAAAATGATTTGCTGCGGTTAGTGACAGCTGCTTTCTGACATGATGAATGATTGTAAATGTGCTAACATGCATGCAGAGCAGAAAAACCACACTAAAACAACAGCAACCTAGCCACAAACATACTGTTACACCTTTATGAATAATGCACATTTACCTACAGTACACTGTAAACTTACCAAAATAATAATAATCATAGTAAATGTTATAATAAATACTTAATAAAAGTTGATACTAATGATTCAAAGCGCTTTATTATTATTATTATTATTATTACCCTAGCATTCCCCATCATTCAAAGAATTTCTTCTTATCAGATGCCCATTTACATCACTCGGGTCCTGGGTGGAGAGTGGCAAATGCAGATTAACGTCTTGCCAAAGGACTCACATATATGTGTAAGTTTGTTGCTGGATATCAATTTATATTTTATCCCTACATGTACCTGTAAGTTTGCCTACAGCCTGAAGGCCTACAACTTGAAGGATGCGGCCTACAAGTTGAAGGATGCAAGTGGCATGTGTCGACATACATCATGTGAATGAATGGCTTTGAAGACTGTCTGTTCCACTAACTATGAATCATGTTGCATCAAGACAATCAAATGAGTTCTACATCGTTCATGAATGTGTATTTAGTTCCCAATTTCACAGATCAGCTAGTACAAGTTCATATTTTTCTACTACAGAGAACTTGCGTATAAAGACCCATCAGTGGCAACAAGAAAGATGATCTTTGTAGGCAGGTGGGTTTGACATGAACTTGTTCCTTTAATAATGTTTCTGAATAATGCTATTCAAGGAAAATAAAGTTGTAACATAAATATGAAGACAGGTGGTCTTTATATATGATGTGGCATGGTCTTTATAATTATAATGATGGCTTTTAAAAGCAAGTTTTACTGTAAAAATTAATAAAGCAACAGTCACGATGAGCTCATTTCATCATATAAATGCCAATGTAATATGGCACAACTGAGAAGCTTTGTAATTGAATGCTTTGTTACATTATTTGATGTAATCCAGAGATTACTGGATGACCATACAATGATATCAAATTCCTACAAGTACATGTAGGTGAACCACACAATTCATATGCATGTAATAAGAGATCCACATGTATTGTATGATTCTAGAATAACTGCACATAATTCCTCAAATGACAGCTTTGTGTCATGTCCATGTACTGTAGTTCATCTAAAGTAAATCTATTGAACACACTACTAGTTACATTTCCTCTCATAACAAATAAAGCACTCCAAGGTGATATATATGCACTAGGTGGTAGCCCCTATTCTTTCCCAGTGTTATTGGTATCAATGTCAGAAGACCGGTGGAAGTTATAACTTCCTTCCGTACCTGGCCCGGTGAGTGTGTGCACGGCAACAGAAGGTGTCAGAATGAACTACTGGTACTACCTCTATCACACACAGGATACAACTCTACTTGATGGCTATTTATCAGGGGCGGATCCAGGAAGGCCAAAGGGTGCGGGCTCCCCCCCCCCCCCCCCTCCATTTTTTGTGTAGTTTGTCAATGGATTTGTTAGTGCAACAGTACACCATAAAATCTTTTGCTTTTGATCATTGACAGTATTTTGGAGGAATATGAGGACCCCCCCCCCCCCCCCCTCTTTAAATGCTCAATAACTTTCTTTTCCCATTGGTTGTCATTATTTAGGTAAATTGATCACCCCCCCCCCCCCCTTAAAAAATTGTTGAACCATTCCTGATAATGATACATACATGTAATAAGTATTTTCATTTATTCACTACTCTCAAGTCAAGAGGTAATTGAGTTAATCAAATAATGCACATGTACATGTAGATGATTATTAACAAAAATGCTGGTTGTTTAATTCAATGTTCCTTACTGGGGGTAATCATTATTCAAAATTTATCAAGGCTAACCTTGACTACATTCGTTTTTTGTTAGTTTCATTACTGTGGATGATATAGTACATGTACTGTACATGTAACTCTATGATTTTAATGTAACTTTTGAGTATGTTGGAAATAAATGCAAACACAATCCAATACATCTACCGGTACATGAATCTGTACTGACAATAATTCAATTTAGAAATATGCCACAGAGTACCAGTCAGTCTACCCTGGAGATGACATGTAAAAAATATAAAAAAATCTTTCTCCAAAAGCACTTTGATACTTGGGATTGACAAAATATGGTAAAGTGTCAATGTGTCAACCATAAAAGAGTGGCCTGCTCCTAAAACAAAGTCAACTATTGTCAGTCTTTCCTCTGGTTAAGGCTATCAAGGATTAGCTTTGCATGTTTTAATCATTAACTATAAACAAGCAATTATCATTTTTGTTATTCAATATTATTTTACACGTCCATGTAAATGTATACTGATCACCCCCTAACCCCTTACCCCTAAGCCCCTCCCCCTCCTACCCACCCCATCCCCTTTCACACCTGTTCCTAAAGAAAATAAATGTTGTTGATACTTCAGCAATAAAGGAACAGAGATATTATAACAGAGACATACAAAGAAAAGGAGAACAATCAGCTGAGAAGAATCATAACATAAGAATAGCCCAGGATTCGACCTGATTAATGGTCCATGCAGGGCAGGTAATGTAAAAAGTTAATGATAATAATTGTCAGTCTTTCCTTGGGTTAAAGTTATGTGGGATACATGATTGGTTTATAAGCTTTCCATTGCTACATTTTTATTCATAATTATTCTATTTCTGATAAATGTTCCATAGTAAATGTACAACCCAGCTGAACACTAGTATTATAATAGCATGAACAGAAAGAGGAATCAGGATGTAAATTGTATTTTTTGAGTAAAATCCCACATTACTGCTGCCTGTTATCTTGATTCAAGACATAAGTACTGTATATTCCTCCGAATATGGAGGCAAATCATAAGGGAGTTGGGTATCGGGAAGTGATGTTATCATGTTACAAACAGGGTAATCAAATCCATATGTGGATCAACATTTACAGTATACATGTATGTGTCACCGTTAACTGCCTTTTTCTGGACTGCATCCTACATGTACATGTACGTGTATGTTGCATGCACGTATCCTTGTCAGTCAGTCGCTGTGCGTAACACTATCTGCAATGTGAGACTAGGGCTGCGTTCATGCTTAAATTTTGAAGGCAGAATGAGCGATCTGAAACGCTCATCGTAAACGCTCATCGTGATCGCAGTTCCAC